TACTTGAAAACAAAACTGACATTTAACGTATATATATATATATATATATATATATATATATATATATATATATATATATATTTATGTATATATATAATTGTACGAGGACGTACTCTGTCTTTTGGACTAATTTTGCTAGGCTACTTTTTCTGCCACTAGCGATCGTTCGATCGTTTCCTTTTTCTTTCTTTTTCATTTCCTTTTCATTGTCAAACGATCGACGCGCACGCGCAGAGGATTCTCGAAGAAGGATCCTCTGTCTCGCGAAGTCTCTCGCGACCTATCGAAGCTTCGTCGACGAGACTGTTGCTTTCGCAAACGCAAACGTTTACGATTCTCTTCTTCGGCGCACCAAGGGGGCCGAAGCTCCAACTGGGTACACGTTTTGACTTCGCGTCGTGAAACGATTTTGATTTTCCGCGAGTCGCGGAACGCGGACGCACGTGACTAGGATACTCGCTCGAGTCGACGAACGCAACGACGGGGCCGAGTCTGTCTCTCCTTTGTTTGTTTGTCGAGTGTCAAAACGATCGGGTGAAGAAACCGTCGTCGCGGATCGTTCGACTACGTCTAACGATATAAATCGCTTCGTAAGCTACTTAAGCAAAACGTTGTGCGCGGTTAAATGTTACTTACGTAAGGACACACTTAGCGTTTAATAACCAGCAACATGTTGAGACTTCGGTTGTACTTTGCAAGTTGAGAGCACACGGACGGTGACTCGCGGAGTCTTGCGGGAACGTTTGGACGCGAGACGAATGGAAAACGGAGGGGAGAAAAAAAAAATGGAACTCACGACGATGCGAGAGAACGAAGAGAGGGAAATTCGGACGTCAAGTGTAAACGCATTTGCACAGTCGGACGGTGCTGCGGAGGAGGAACGGGAGAAACGAAAAGTGACTTGAGAAAGCGCCAAAACCTCGACTGCTCAAGGGACCGCAGAGCTTTAACGTTTAAAAACGGAGGACACTTGATTTTTTTGTATAATTGTAATTTAACGAATCAACGAGCCTTGGTGTCTCGCACCGGTGAACGATTAGGATTAGTTGCTTAAGATAACGAAAACTTTTGTAAAAAATGTCGTACCCGCGACCACTGTCGAGACGAACCTCCTTTTTTTGACGATCGAACGCGATTCTTTGTACGATGTCTTTCAATGGAAAAAAAAGAGAGAGTGTATGTATGAGAGAGAGAGAGAGAGAGAGAGAGAATGGATTTTTCGAATTGATAGGACGTTCATTTTTTTGCGGTCAAGAAAAATGTCGTCCTTGACGATTCGAGGCGTTTATCAGATGGCGAAAAGGTAAAACAAAAAAAANAAAAAGAAAAAAAAAAAAAAAAAAAAAAAAAAAAGAAAAGGAAAAAAAGAAAAGAAGAAGAGAAAAATTGAGAAAGGAAACGCGCTTGTTCGATCTTGCCAGACACACGCAGACCAATCGACGACGGTGTACGTTTATCAGCTCGAACTCAGTTTTTTCGGTCCACGACGAACGTTCCAACGACGCACCTCGCAATTATTGCAGAACGAAGGACTTGAGAAGTGAAGGTTTTGACAAATTCTCAGCCGTACGACGCCGATATTACTTCGACAGCACGCACACGAAACATTGCGCCTAGCCGCGTATATTCGTAAATATATACGTGTACATAATAATTGCTTCTCTGACGAGTAAACCGAAGAAACATGGTATATATGTACTATATATATATATACATATATGCATATACGAATCATTAAACGAAAGCTTATTCCTCTTAACTGGTAAAACTATACGTACATCTACCCACACATACACACACATATATACACACACACATATATATATATACATCATGTATGTCGCCTGGTTCGAAATCATTGGCGGATATCATATTTTTCGACTATTGTATAGCCGTTTTTTCGTCGGTGAGAAACAAAAGAAAACGAAAAAGAAAAAAAAAAAAGAAAAGACGGATGAAGGAGGAAGCGTCGAGTCGCTCGCGAAAGCAAAGAGCTTCGAAGATTGTGCTTGGATACTTTGGATTCTTCTCGATTTTCGTGATCGATCGTCCCGGACGTTCAGCCGGATTGACTAGGATTCGCGTGATGACAGGTCGCTCCAGTCATCGAAGAGATCACCAAGTTAGGCCAGGGAAACGAAAGAAAGCAAAAGCAGGATGACACGGTGACGCTTGAAGATGTAAGACAGGACCACGATCGCAGTTGGTGACCATATCGCGGCTGCCGTTCAGTTCGTCGAAACGAAACAAAATTCTTCGGCTCGATGCTTACGTTTTACGAACTCGTCTTGCGTTTTCGTTTCGTTCATGCTCGACAGCTGTGTACGCTCGCTATCGTTAGGACTTACTTCGAGGAAGCGTACGGTTCCGTGCGTACGTAGGCCACATGCAAAATTGTAGATCCTTCCGGTACAGCGTCCCTCGCGTCGTACCGGCCTTTCCGGGACGAGCTCCTGACCGTTTGTCCCATTTACGGGACGTAATAGAAGAAGCGTGTCGCGTTTGACACGGAACACGCCACGAGAGGCAGATGACGCGACATTCAACCGGGAAGAGGAGGCGAGGTGGAAGGAACACGAAGGAACGGGAAGTCTCGATCTGTATGGATTTTTTCGCGAATAGATATTACCATATTTTCCGAGAGTTACGAAAGGACGTTGTTACTGTAAAGATATGTAAGTTTATTTATCGCTAATAAAAATGAACGTTTAAGAAAAATCGCGCTACTATTTTGACGCGAATCATACGAATGCCCAGTTTTTTGATCATCTTGTTCCTCGAGGCCCTTCTCCATTCGAGAGTTTCTTGCGAGAGTATTCTTCATTTTTCTCTCTCAACACAGTTGAGCGATGCTCTCGGACAGTAACTCTCAGAAGCAGTATCCATTTGCGAGAAATACTCTCGAGAGAAACTCGCGACAGTTTTACTCTCAAATGGAAGAGGGCCTTCATACGGATGTCTCTTTCTTTTCCTTTTTTCTCGAGACGTACAATTGATAAAAAAACTGATCCTCGGTTTTGCGATCAATCGAAAGCTAATCGCGATATAATTTTTATATTCAAAGTTAAAGAATAAACGTTGTGTATTGCAATTGATCAGGAGCATACCAGATTTTACTCGTCCTTCTAAGAAACGAAATCAAAGCCAAAAATTAAGTTCTATTTTTACGATAGATTCTACTCTGTATTTCGCAAAATTCTGGCAAATCACTAGAGATCGATTAGGTTCCAGCAGGTAATCTCAGTATAAATTTCGACGATCTATTTTTAGCAGACTCATTTTTTTCTTCAGTGGGTGCAGGTATAATAAAAAAATCAACGTGCGAGGAAACGTTTGTTTAGTAGATTTATTAGATCCTTTAAAATATTTGAAACAGCGTGCGGCTCTTGTTATTTGGCGTAACAGTGAGATATCGTTAATAAGGTACACAGTACGAAGCTCAAGGAGAGCGAAGCGATCAAGATCGATTTAAAATCCACAACTGAACGGTTCCTCCTCGCGGTCTCGATACGCTCACCTGCCGAAACGAGAATTCCTATAGCTTTAACCGACAACGAGAGTTGTTGGAAAAATGCAAGCGCAAGTTCTTGCCCCGTTCGTACGTATGTTTCGTTCGTGCGTTCGCCAAAATGGCGGATACGCGGTCCTAATAGCTATTGCTATCAATCGTTGTCGTCATATCCCTAGTGAGATATGCACGTCATAACGCAATCGCGAATATATCGAATTTATTGTGGTGCTGGTTCCTCTTAACACTTAAGTTACTTTACATTGAGAAATATGGCGCGTGACTTGTTAGATTAGACGAGAGAGAGTAAAATCGAAAAATCCATATATGTTAGAAGAAGAAATCGATTATCGATCGGTCGCCTGTTCTTTCTTTTTCCTTTTTTTTTTTTCTTTTTTTTTCCTCTTACATTGACGCAGGCGACCCAGACAATAAAAAAGGCTCGATTACAGCCTAATCAACCGAGAGAATCGGCGTTTCATCTCAAAGAAGGAGCACGATCGTTGTAGCGATTGCTACTCTACGTTCCTTAATCAATAGAATTGTTTTATTAAGATCGTCATGTCTCCGTCGTTTCTTCTCGCCAACCACTCGTGCCTCGCGAAACGTTCGCGCAGGTTCGCGAAGATTTATCGGCAGATACGTTGCAGCACAGTTAACGAAGGAAATTTGCTGAGACGTTGTGTTACACGAAACGCGAGCTGATTCCTTCGCGTTCACGTTACACGTCGCGTGCTTGCTAGCAGGATGCTCGGAAAACATTAGCGTCACAAAACAGACTTTTTTTTCGAAAAAAGTTCCTCTGACATTGACACTGAAAGAGATAACGCCGCGTTGCAACGTTACCAGGTTGAAACTAGCGCCGTCGCCTCTAGTCAGACAGTGGTGCACTCTTTCGATTCGAAACGCAACCATCTTCCGCGCTGGTGCCAGTTTCAAAATTTCCTGCGCCTTCTCTCTCGCTCTCTCTCTCTCTCTTTCTTTACGCTTCCATTTTTCACGCTCGATGCGATTCCAACAAGACGCAAAAGTTTTTTTATATTTTCTGCTGCTTTTTTCGTATTCTGTATTACTTTTTCGCGTTATGTCACTCAGCATTACTCTCTTTATTGCTGTATCTTCAACTTTTTTCACGGTACCGGTCGGTAACGCAGATTTCTGATTACAGAGTGGGTGAAAATTTTTTTTCATTTTTCCAGGGCGTTTTCATGCTCTGTGTTACTTTTTCGCGTTATTTCATTCATTGTTACTTCCTTTTTGCTGTATCTTCAACTTTTTTCACGGTACCAGTCGGTAACGAGAAATCTACGTTACCGGGTGAAAATTTTTTTAATTTTCTGGGTTTTTTCGTGCTCTGTTATTTTTTCGCGTTATTTCACTCAGCGTTACTCCCTTTTTGCTGTATTTACTTTCTTCATTGGGTGTAGGTATAATAAAAAGAATACCAACGTGCGAGGAAGCGTTTGTTTAGTAGATTTATTAGATCCTTTAAAATATTTGAAACAGCGTGCGGCTCTTGTTATTTGGCGTAACAGTGAGATATCGTTAATAAGGTACACAGTACGAAGCTCAAGGAGAGCGAAGCGATCAAGATCGATTTAAAATTCACAACTGAACGGTTCCTCCTCGCGGTCTCGATACGCTCACCTGCCGAAACGAGAATTCCTATAGCTTTAACCGACAACGAGAGTTGTTGGAAAAATGCAAGCGCAAGTTCTTGCCCCGTCTGTACGTATGTTTCGTTCGTGCGTTCGCCAAAATGGCGGATACGCGTTCCTAACAGCTATTGCTATCAATCGTTGTCGTCATATCCCTAGTGAGATATGCACGTCATAACGCAATCGCAAATATATCGAATTTATTGTGGTGCTGGTTCCTCTTAACACTTAAGTTACTTTACATTGAGAAATATGGTGCGTGACTTGTTAGATTAGACGAGAGAGAGTAAAATCGAAAAATCCATATATGTTAGAAGAAGAAGTCGATTATCGATCGGTCGCCTGTTCTTTCTTTTTCTCTTTTTTTTCTTTTTTTTCCTCTTACATTGACGCAGGCGACCCAGACATCAAAAAAGGCTCGATTACAGCCTAATCAACCGAGAGAATCGGCGTTTCATCTCAAAGAAGGAGCACGATCGTTGTGTCTCCGTCGTTTCTTCTCGCCAACCTCTCGTGCCTCGCGAAACATTCGCGCAGGTTCGCGAAGATTTATCGGTAGATACGTTGCAGCACAGTTAACGAAGGATGTTTGCTAAGACGTTGTGTTACACGAAACGCGATCTGATTCCTTCGCGTTCACGTTACACGTCGCGTATTTGCTAGCAGGATGCTCGGAAAACATTAGCGTCACAAAACAGACTTTTTTTCGAACGATCAATCGTTGAAGAAGACAGAGTGAAGGAAAGAAAATTGTTCCTTGCTGCAACACGTAATTCGACATGCTCGTTGCTTCGAGCTGGTAGAAGAAGTTTATACGTTTCGTTTAATCTTCGAGTAACATAAAATCCCATCAGGTGTATCTACGGATCTTACGGTAGGTGCGATTAGGGCTTGTCGAATAAAGTTCCTCTGACATTGACACTGAAAGAGATAACGCCAGGTTGCAACGTTACCAGGTTGAAACTAGCGCCGTCGCCTCTAGTCAGACAATGGCGCACTCTTTCGATTCGAAACGCAACCATCTTCCGCGCTGGCGCCAGTTTCAAAATTTCCTGCGCCTTCTCTCTCTCTCTCTTTTTCTTTCTTTACGCTTCCATCTTTCACGCTCGATTCGATTCGAACAAGACGCAAGAAGAAGATCCCTTTTCCGGCTCAAACAACAGCTGACCGAGTTTCGATCCGCGACAATCGCAGCAGTACGCGCAACGGAGTGAACATCAGAGGAAAGGAAAAGAGTGCGAGACGAAGTGCGGGATCGTCCGACAACCGTTGACTCGTCGTTGATTCGTTCTATCTAACACAGACACGAATATTGGTGAAATCCTAGTAGCCTGGTGACAACACCTCTTCCTCTTCGTCCTCCTCGTCGTCGTCGATGCCTGGCTCGCCGAGCGCGTGCACGAATTCTAGAACAGAAATGTCCTCTAGTGAGGTTTCGGCGACCGCCGCGTGCCCTTAAAAACGCTACAAAAATAAATAGGCCTGCTAATACGATCTACGTGCGTGGGAACCCTCTGCTCGTGGATTCCGTCCAACGTTTTTCACTTTCCGTTTCGCCACGGAATCGTCACGCGTATCCACCTATAGAGAGAACTCGTTCCCATAGAACGGAATTTACTTAGTCCGGAAGGAATATTTCTCGTTCGCATTGAAATATTTTCCATCTGCATCTGGCATTCATAAATAAGGCAAGATACTTTGGAACGCGTCCTCCTACATATCCAGCGTAACAAATTCGATAAACGTAAACTATTACTCCATTCTCGCGAGTGTGCACGGTCTCGGAGATGTACGTCGATTTGCGAACCTTCGACGAATCGATCGATTCGCGTTCCGTGTCGTTTCAAAAGAAAACTCGCCGCGGGGAGAAAGGTAGAACGGAGGATTTGGCGAATCGGAAAGGGAGTAGCTCGGGTAATCGTGATCGAAATGTTTCGATTTATCGCAGATGGCGGCCAGATGCACGTCGCCTAACTGTGCTCGCATAACTCGGCGGAAGCTACCGAGTCGAACGTGCGATGCTCGAACAGAAGGGTGGAATTTAAATGGGGGAAAGCGAGAAATGGGAAGAATTTCTTCGTTTCGTATATATCTCGAATGTCGGCGGCGAGATTTCTACGGATTTCTTGGGACTCTCTTTTCGTCTCAGAAATTTTCCTATTTTTTTTTTTTTTTTTTTCCCAAGCAAACGCGCGTCGATCGATGTACGCGAAAGTAGTGAGCAAAGAGCAGACACGCTAGAGTTCGCGTTTTTCTCTGATTATTAGAAACTTATACGGCGGGGGAATCGAACTCACCATAGAAATCGATCCGGCCGTCTCCATCCACGTCCACTTCCTTGATCATGTCCTCGACTGAAACACACGGAAAAAGCAGCTTACATCTTCCGTTCGATAGGTACGATTTGAAAGTTATCGGCGATTATGTCCCTTTTTCGCTTTATCATTATCTCGCGCGCTTTTTCTTTACATACGTGAAATTCTAGTCTGCTTTACACGTATGTATTGTATGTATTGTACTCTCGTTGTTCAACAAGGTATAAATCGACAGACTCAAGAAGAATCTTTGAAAATACTATTGCAAAATGTCACACGGTGCATGCCAAATTCCCCTTCCTGGAACATTTTTAAATCCACTGTTTTTTTTTTTTTTTATTTTCAAATTGAACCTCGTTTGTCCGAATATGTTTTATTTATTTAATTATTACCCACTGTAAATGTAGATATTTCTTACGTTGCTAAATCCCCACGAATTTCGAAACATGAAAATACTGTAATAGGTACAATAGGCGTAACTCTATTCTTTCCATTCTTTCGCCGAAAAACGGTCCGCATTTTAAATCTATAGATTTTTTATTTGCCGTCAATAAACTTTCGTTTGGAAAATTCCTTTGTTAGAGCCGACGGAACACGCTGGAATATCGCGCAGGTCTGACCGCTGAATAGCCAGGTGGCTTGACAGAAAGTTGAAATTAATATCTACGTCATTAACGCACGCACCATAGATGTTCACTGACACGACAAATATTGCATTTAGCCTGATTAAAGTCGCCTATGGACGTGCGTATGCTAATTGACAGGGCGGCGTGGCAGCGCGCGGCAATTTAATTTTTCGCCCGGCGCTCCGCGGTTTCCGCCGCCTCTCGTTTCCGTAAAATCCGAAATATTAGCTGGTGGAACACGGGCGCTGCGCCGATTAATATTCCCGGCCTGCGCTTTTCTCGCCCGCGCGAAAAAAACACCACGATAATGTGACCGTTTTGCCCCTCGCGATACCCGTAATGCGCGGGCGGGAGAAAAAAAAAAAAAAAATGAAAAGAAGGAAAAAAAATGAAAAAAAGATAAAGTGGGGAAACGACCACGTTCGTGGTCAGACCGCGGCGCTGATCGCGTCCGTCAATTTTCCATTTTAATTCCCTTTGACAATTCGATAAATTCGCGCGCCAATTCTATCGTCGTTAATTCCCTCATCAACCCGTTAATTCCACTCTTCCGCTGGTTTTTGTCGCTCTTTCGTTTCCGTGGAATTTTCCGCCGTGTTTCGCGCTCGTCGCGGGGCTGGCTCTTGGTCATTTTTATTTATTTTTTTTTTTTTGAATTCCCTCAGGTGAATTTCCACCCGTGGGTGGAACTCTCTCTCTCTCCGAAAAGACCGCCTTCTATCCACCTACATACGTCTATGGATTTTCCACCGATTCTTTTCATCCATTTTCATCTTCGGATTTTTACCGTCAGACAATTGGTACAAGCTCGCATGAATTTTCACGAAAACCCACGGTTCCCATTGGCCATGGTTTCGACTTGTTATCAACTTACCACTTATCAAGGGTTAACTTTCTAACTGATTTATATTCATATTAGGCTGGCTACTTGAGTGTTTTAGTAATTATCCTGCCTGATCTTAATTTCAATTACAATTGCTAATCCATTGCGACTGCGACAGCTGCGTTATTGCGAATTCCCACGATCCTTCGCGAGCGATTTATACGCAAGTTACTCGGTAGCCGTTAATGCCCTATTAATTCCGATCACGTTCACTGTAAGTGTACGAAACAAGTCGGAGGAGTCTTTCCAATAACGATCGTAGGTTCTTCTTAAAAACTGCCACGAATGAAAATAACGTGACCCATCCCTTAATCCTCGTTGACCTACATCGTCACTCTCCAAACGAATAATATAAATATTCATAAATAATTATTCCTTTAATTTTAAGAAACATTGCAGCACATTCTCGAGTACGCTGCAATAAATAATAATTTTGATGCTAAACCATCTTTTGCCTGCGAAACGAGGTTCTTCAAATTAGGGGATTTGCTGTCTGACTCGGCGCGACGCAATCTACTTACGTTTCTACTTTAGTGTTACAATTATTAGGAATCGTAGACAGATTGGAAAGGATATTCCACAGATCGCAAAAATACAGCAGAGAATAGAAACTTGAACAGATGCAACATCTTGTAATGAAAAACAAAAAAATTTTCATTCCAAACTAAGGAGTGTGAGAAATGTAACAAAACGAGAATGCAGTAAAAATTTAAAGTGACGTCCAATCCAACTCCAAAGTAAATGATAAATTAATGATTTCAGGTAACAAGCAATCACGATCGATGCTTGAAGGATCAATGTTTGAAAACCTCGAGATCGCCTCTCGTCGATTCCTCGAGATTCACGTGTTTTATGTAGCTAGTCGCGTGAGAGTAATGGACATTTTACGACTACTCCGCCTCTGAATTATACAATTGGCAATTTTCTCGAAGGGCAATTATCGTAATCGGCTTCATAGCCCATGGCAATTATTAATACGCACACAGAAGTCCATGTACAGGACAAATTGATTCCGGTCAATTAGTAACCTCATCCCATATATTGGATGGATTATTACGTTGTCCTGTGTGATGAAGAGAATGGAGAGAGAATGAACGCGCGCGCGTGCAATTTACCATCAGAATGGCCCGTGTTATTAACACAACCCTCAACAAATTTGCACGAGATGCATCTTAATTGTCCGCCGTGAAACTTTCGTAAGGCTAGAGAGAGAGAGAGAGAGAGAGAGAGAAAGAAAGAGAGAGAGAGAGAGACAGGGAAGCGAGAGAGTAGTCTCGTCGTTTGTTTTTACGTGGTCAGTGTCATCTCACTGGCGAGTTAAGTTTGTTATCAGGTTCATGCACGGCACGATTGATCGCCCTGACGAGAAAAAAAAAACTATCGCCGAGCGAATTTTCAAACTGACGCCGGGAGCTAAAACAGAGCTTGAGGAGATAAAATCGAAATGGAAGATCGATCGATGAAAAAAAATTAGTCCAGTTTGGCTCTCGGCGCTTCGCTCGCGCCAACGAGAGTGTGTAAATTTTTATTTGAGTCTACACCTAGGAACAAAATGGAAGCAGAACGCAGCAAAAACTCGCGGAGATTTATAGCTCTCCTCTTCTCAAATCGGAACTTTTGGCGCAAAGAAGTTCCACCGGTAGGGCGTACGAGTGAAGTTTCAGACTTTCAGGTTATATCGTGGAAAAATCGTGGAAACGCTAAAACGCGATGCGATATTTCACCGTGCATAGACGCGGATGACGTCACAGAGTGTGGGAACAAATTGAAACTTATTTCATTAGTTATCTCATTACGTTTCTCATTTAGTTTTCACGCGTCAACGCCCCCTCGTGACGAGGAGGGGGTGCTCTGAATATAAAGAAGAAACGTCCTCCATTCTTCCGCGAGGAAGAAAAGAGGAAATATCTTCCGCAGCTATTTTTCGCGAGGTATTGCGAATTTTTCTCAAGTCATGAAAAAAAAAAAAAAAAAAAGGAAATAGTCGTCTCCGAGTTTGAAGGCACGTTCCGCGCGCGATCGCAAACTGAAAAGCCTCGTCTCGCGAGGAGAGTTCGCCAAGCGATCGCCTCCGGCCCGAAACGGCGGAACACGACGCGAACGTGCAGTTTTAAATTGCAAAAAAGCTCGCGAGATTGGACGGAACGGAAAAAATAACAAGGGAACTTTGGGCATAACTGCGCGCGAAAGTCCAGCGAAACGCACAATAACGGAACGAATGCGAAATTCTTCTCGAGTGAGATTCTTCGACGAACGAACGGGAGATCTGTTCGTTTCTCTCTGGGGGACGAGGGAACTCTTTCGAGTGAAATTAGAGATCACGCGTGTCAGCTAATCTCGCGAGATAACAAGAAGAAACAAGGGAGCGAACAGGGAGTTTTTTTTTTACTCTCTCTTTGCTTTTTTTCTCGTGTCTCCCTTCGTTTCTTCCGGACTTGCTCGTACTGCAATTTTGCATCGAGTTATTTCTCGCGAAAGCAGCTGCATTTTTTACAGGCTTACGCTCCCGTGGATTTTTCGAGGAGAAATTCTACGGAATTTGGATATTAAATCAGGAGGAGTCACGGCGATGTTCTGATGAAAAATTCTGCGGAATTTGATATGATGAAACAGTGAAAGATAGGCGGAACTCTGCGAGAATAAATATGAAGATTTTTAACGACGCGGAGGAACGATTTCGAGGACGTGTCCGTGAAAGTTTCCCGCGCGGAAGTTCGTTACGACGGATAGATCGTTACGCTCGATCCCTCGTTCGCGCGTTTTAGCCAACGCGACGCGAGATTGGAATCGATTTGTCGCGGCGAAAACGAAAGACAAACGGGGAATTGCTATCGGACGAAAACTTTCCGTGAAACTTCTCCTTTCCTCTCTCCTTTACGAGGAAGATCTCCTTCTCGTTTCTAGTTTAGATAGTTTACGAACGACGAATCTCAATATCCCCGGGTATCGTTTGATCAATCTGCAACTGGCTAAGTACAATTAACGGCGCATTTTCACATTAGCAGCATCAGATTGGTTAAAGAAACTAATTGGCAATCTTGCTTAGAGATCTGATGGATTTATTACGGTTTATTTTTTTCTAAAATGTACGGGTAAAAGCTTGTTCTTCAATTGTTTAGAACAATTTAAAACAAAGTGACACAAATACTTACCGACGATTTTTGCGAATCGTATTTTATTCTGTCTAAATTTATTTTAATAAATTCCTTGTAATTGTTGTTTCGAGTAATGAATCAAACGATATATATATATATATATATCGGGTAATAAATAGGGTAATAAATATAAAATATGAAATATCACACACACAGTGGAGATTTGAAGAATTAAAAAATTTTTCATTATACTTGCGATGACACATCTATATTATTAAATCGATTCTTTGCAATTGCTGTTTCAAGTAATGAATACCTACTTATTATCAATCATTCGAGAGTAATAAATATAAAATAAAAGATATTCGTTACACCATAAAGTTAAAATGACTCGTCTCAGGAGTTGGAGAATTATGTTCCTGAAATTAAAAAATTCTTCGCTTGATTTGTTTGTAGTGATACAATTGTAGCATCAAATTAATTTCTGTTGTTGGAATCAAGCTCTTGAAGCTTGTACAGATTCGTTGTCTGACTTGTGACGGCGCAATCTACTATATTTGTTCTACTTGCCGTTCAGGCGCGGCTGTGTATACTCTTGTCTCGTGATGGTAAATAGACCGGAAGAGATATACTTGGAGTCCCAAAAAGTTCCCGGGATCTCAGAATTATGGCAGATAAAAACTTCGGAATCACAACCCTCGCGAAGGTACATATCGCTCGCTTATGGTGTTCCTCGATTCTTAAAGTACCTCCATCCATTGCATCGAATATCGCGTATCTCTATGCCCACCCTTCCTTCCTCTGTGTTCACAATAAACACCCTTGAACATGCTCCACGTCACGCCGTGAAGTTCCATTCATCCGCCGTTTCTACCACCAGCATTGTTCATTATTATTTCCATTTCTACTTTATTTATCTAGAACTGTTCGCTCTGTACGTCCTTTCGATTTATTCATTCGAATCCTCGATTTATCTATTCCGGGCAAACGAATAAAATTGGAAATCAACTTCAAACAGATCGAAGAACGGAGAAACCCGCGAAGAATCGAAGATTCGTTCGTTCCGAGCAAAAGGCTAAAGTTTGCAGATGGAAAAGTATGCACGTCGTCTACACGTGACTCGAGATATACAGACAAGAGAAACAGGTGTGTACGTACTTTCTTCTTCCGACAAATCCTCGCCGAGGCACTGCAGCACAGCTCTCAGATCAGATGCGGTAATGTAGCCGCGGTTATGCTTGTCAAACACCTGTGAAACAAACAAGAAATCGTTATATATCGTAGGAAAACCGTTGCCTGATCTTTCACGTTTTAAAGGACAGGATGTACTTGATCTCCAAATTTCCAGTACCCGAGTTTCGTCCCATGGATTTCGAATATTGCAAAAATGCCGGAGCGAGTACAGGTTCCGAAGAAGCCAGGTTTGGAAGATTCGAAAACTTTAACGAGCGAATTTTGGAGATCAGAGTTGCACGATGTGACCCTTGAGGAGTGGTTCATCGACTTCGAATACGCAATATTCCAAAAGAAAAACAGGGACAAGTCTTCGTTCAGTGGAAGGTTCGCCGAAAATGGCTCGAGCTTACTTACCATTCCATCTCTGTTCGCTATTTCCCCCAGATCGTACGTTTGGAAATACCAATTTCAACTCTCGCCGAAATAGATTCTTTTATTTTCGTACCGAGTTCCAGGGGTTCTTTGCCGGATAGATTCTTTTATTTCCAGGTAAATGGAATATCCACGCGAGGGAAATGGCCAGAGGGTTCTCTTTTTCTCTGCCGGGCCTAACGAGAGGGTGGCTCTTTTCGGGGGCGTCGATAATCGCGTGGACAAGGGAGCACGCAGCGGGACGAAAGGAGCGACGCGGGAATAATAAGGAGCAGCGCACGTCTTTGTTATTTATCTACGACGCGATCGCGAAAGCTATCGGACTTTTGTTTCCGAAGGCGGAATTGGGATTGATGCCGCTCCTGAGATGGTTCCCTTGCGCGGCCGACCTTCGAGTGCAGCCGGGCTCCTCCGATGGCCGCTTCGTTACCGGCAAATTAATGGGTTCGCCACGGCAAGAGAAACGAGGGCAGGCCACGAGGGTTTCTAAGGAGTCGTGCGTGTAACCATCGTGTCGTGCCAACCACGGCCATGTCCATTTACGACGAGCGTCACGAGAACAAGAAAGGTTCGTCGACCGAACGATGGTAACGAGAAACGGGGGTAGGAAGCAAATAGGGTGGAAAAGCGATCGTTTCTTCAGCGGATTTTAATGGTCGATTTTTCGGATTCGTGGGAACGTGGCTGCTTGCGAGAAAATACTTGGACGTTATCGCGACTAGATTGACATAAAATTAATACGTTGGCACTACAAAATGTATGAAACGTCGATGGTGTAGTGTACTTTCCATGACATTTCACAGTTGAAGCAACTTTCTATCTTATGTTTTCAAAGATAAAAATTCTGGTCCGCGGTTCAAATTCAATTCAAATATGAAAATATATATATATACATGCGGAAGGTAATTTGGAAATGTTTAGAACAAGTATATATTTTGCGGAGATCAGAGTGTCGTTCAAGTTGCGTTAATACATCTCAACGTCAAAAGCGGACTTTAAGCATCCTTAAGTTGTACATTATTTTCCTTATTAAATATATATAGTATCTTATACTTTAGCTTATAACACGACGTATGTTTTAAATTTTACTAATACGATTTTAATTTTAATTACAATCACTTCTCACTGCGCAGCCAATGAAATTTTAAAATATCTGACTAAAAGTTTCCACTAAAAGTTGTATCAAGTGTTCAAATATTATATTTGTACAAAACATGTTCCAGCGTAGTTGGGGTACTTTTCCATGGTCGATGCGGTCAGCCGGGTTAAGGAGAATAATTTAATTACAGAGGATCTACCTATATCATACAAATATTGTTCCTCGCGTACTACTGCAACGAATATTTAAATTTGTTCCTCGTAAATATGCTCTCGCGGCCGCGTACGACTGTGGTTCGATTTGCGTTTACCGGCGATTTTTGTTTTTTAATGGCCGACGAAATTGCAGCGACGTATTTATTCGTCGGGTATGTTTTGAACTCGTTTAAATCCCCGTGTAATCGCGTCGCCTCTCGTATTTTTCAGCCAGTGACGCTTGTGCAACGCTTCGAATTGGTATGAAAAAAAAAGAGAGAGAGAGAGGCATTGATATGCCATTCGTTTTCACACGGTTTACGACGCAAAGGAAATATCAACGTTCGACGAACGTTGGATAATTTCTACCACCGAAAATATTATCACGCTATGTGGAATGATAATAAGCGTATTTCCAAATATTCGTGATTATCATCCGAGCTTCAATTTTCCACAATGTTTTTCAACGAGCCGCGCCGGCTCCTTTCGCCACGAGAGAGAGAGAGAGAGAGAGAGAGAGACAGCGACAAATTGATAGAGAAAAAAGTCGAGTAGCTTAAGTCGAGGACTATCTTCTCGCGATGCGATCTCTTTTGTTGCCGCGCAATATGGGTCTTTATTTAAATGGAACTACGCATCGGCTCTCCCTGTTATGCCGCTTACAAGATAACGCCTTCGCTACCCAAGTCGGGAACCTACTTCGAAACAGCGCACAAAACACTTTACGGGAGATTATTTATACGCGAATAATGTAAAGTTTCAGCCTTGTTCAGCGAAAAGGTGGAAACGATCGAGTAACTAGATACTCGTGCTCTCCGGCTCTTTAACCTTTCAGCAATCGAGTTTGCGCACAATGCCGGCCAAAGTTTCCTCGCCCGGGCAATTACGCGATACGTTTCAATTTAGACGCGAGATGCGAAAAACCTGCTCGACTTGAATACCTTGCCCGGAGGTGCGTTCTGTCCCCGTGGCCAGAGGAAGGAGTAAGAATGTTGTCGTGAGCGATGATTGTAAATCGAGCAGCTTCGTCGAGTCGACTTGCTACTTTTCTTGGTGTTCTTTTCGTTCGCTGGAAAATCGCTGACCGTTTTCTGATTCACGGGCGAGAACCTTGCCCTGCGTTCGAGGCAACGAGACGCATTAAAGTCCATTGATCGTGGAGTTTTATAGACACGTATTAAACATCGTTTGCATCGTGATCTATATTCATCGTGTCGTACAGCTTACGTAAGAAATATAAGAGCATAACTCGCAAGTGACATCATTCGCTCGTTCAGAACCGTGACAATTTAGGGTCATACTGCTTTATCTTGGAATCTTCGATTTAATTGCATTTTATTGGGCTGAGTGAAAGATACCGCATCGTGTTCATATCAGAAATTTCTTTCAGCAACATGAATCGCAATTCTTCCCTTTCTAGCAAGAAAATTTCAAAATGTATCGTATGATTTTCTTCTTTAGTTTCACTCATCTTCAAGACGCAATAACTTTCGACCGAATAAACAAATATCACGGCTTTTTGGTTTTAATTACTCCGTGATATGTCACCTTTCAAACGCACGCAAATATTGCCAGCTCCGATTAATATTACCAGAGTTATGCCATCCTAAAGCCGTCTGTCAATTCTACTCAAATGATTGACCTCTATCACTGAGAACGTAAAACGCGGTAAAATTTTTACTAATTTAACATAAAACGAACGTCCTGTAACTCCAGTACCATTTTAGAATTAAATCTGAAGATACGTGGAGACGTTCAATGGACCATGAAGCGACGATCCACAAATCTCGCAGCAATCAGCGTGGAAAATCGCGATCAATCAATCAATTGATTTGTGACAATTGCCAAATCATTCGAGCCTCTCTAACTATTCCATTTGTTTGCGCGAATCGGCGATCTATCGCGCGGTCGTTGAGTCAACGAACGACACGTTATAATTAACACTGTCGTCGTTTGCATAATCGAAAGCTGAGCGTATCTCGCTGCGATTCTATCTGCAGAGTGAACGCAGTTTTTTCGCGGCAACGTTTCACGCAGTGAAACTGGACAGGCGAACGGATCGTTGATCGACCTATCGGACGGATCTCGACCGGGGGAATCGAATTTCGAGCTTTCGAACCGGAATGATTGCTTTAATTGATTAACGATAGTCGGTTTTTCCCCTGGATCGCCTGGATCAACTGCGAGACTGGACACTCCTAGTGACGTGAAAACTAAACGAAAGGGGAGATTGCGTTTCGGAAAATGTGGAAAAAATAGACACAGGATCTATTCTTTGGCACGGGGCGATAATTGACACTGAGTAACTGATTAAGTCTGCGGTACCAAGATGAAGGACTTAAGGCTAATTTTTTAATCCCTAATATTTTTAATCCCTTTAATTAATATACTCGTCGTGAAAAGATGGAACTTTTGTTTAATTTCGAGTATATTCATCAAGTAAAAAGAAGTTTGCTTTTGCTATTTGTAAAAGAATTATATATATTTTAGCACATTTTAGAATATTTCAAGGCAACAAAACAAAGAAAATATGCAGTTGAAAATAATGGAAATTGTTCGGAGAAATCTGAAGCAATGCAAAAATTAAATTTATCTCTAATCAAGTTCCTTAGTGCATATTTTGAATTTCTAGTGGTTTTTTCTTTTTTACGGAACAATTTTCAAAAGAATAAAATGTCAAGTTCTGTAAATAACAATTAAAAATTTTTCAAAGAAACACGAAAAAATTTATCATTTATAATTTAACTCAATCTTCCAGCAAGTGGATTTACTACGTTTTTGTCAAGTACACTCGCCATCGTCTAGAAATAATTAAGCACATTCTCAAAATAAGACAAAACTCTCAAGAGGTTAAATCTTTCCAAATAAACAGGCAAACGAGAGGAAAATTTCTCTGATCAAAGACCGGACCGAAATTTTATCTTATTAAATGAATCAAATGGCGTGTAAAAACGAGAAAGAGAATAATCCAATGAAAAAAAGAAAAAAGAAACTACGTCATATACATGCTAATACAAGAGACGAAGATTAAAATCTCTGGTTTCTTGCAGCCAATTCATCGTCTCTGATCCAAGATTTTATGTTGGTCTCTCATGCATACGCACGTTTGTCTCTGACAAACGTGCGACAGAATAAATGCTCTCTCGTCAGACCGCGCATTAGATAACCACAGAAAAATCTTCACGAGTTTTATCGCGGGTTCAAGATAAATCGTCGAAAATTTGGCACCGCCGGCAGCAACGGGAAGAAAATCGAAAAAAAGAAAAAAGATAGGATTACAGGGAGGAATGGTAATCGCGATCGCGATAAAGTGATAATCGTCAGGACGTTAGGATGTTACTCGAGTGC